CCTTCCGAGTAGCCGGAATTACAGGCATGCGCTACCACGCCCGGCTGATTTTTTGATTTATTGTAGAGATGTCTCGCTGCGCAGGCGGGTCTCGAACCCTCGGGCTCAGGCAATCCACTCACTTCTGCCTCCCAAAGGCGTGGGATTACAGGTTGAGCCACCAAGCCCGGTTTAGGAGAGCTATTTTATAGGAGGAGGACATAGAGTCCCAGCATATCAAAGATGAGCCAGGTGTGGTGACTCACGCCTGTAATCCCAGCACTTTGGGAGGTGGAGGCAAGAGGATTGCCTAAGTCGAGGGGTTTCAGACCAACCTGGGCGAGATCCCATCTCTACAATAAGTCAAAACATTAGCTGGGCATGGTGGCACACGCCTGTAGTTCCAGCTACTTGGAAGGCTGAGGCAGAAGGATCCCCGGAGCCCAGTAGGTCAAGGCTGCGGTGGTCGTGAGCATGCCCCTGCACTCCAGCCTGGGAGACAGAGTGAGACTCCGACTCAAAAAAAAAAAAAAAAAGAGAATCAAAGTTGACGATGTCTCCCAATCCCTTTACTTCCTAAGGCTCAGAGGGGGTGGGGAAGGCATCAGGGCCACACAGCCCAACCGTGGTGGTGCAGCCTGAATACAGCTCTCCACTCCTGCCCCAGCCTGAGGCTGGCCCCACTCAATCCAGCCCCTACCCTCTCCTCTCCCCCCTTTCTCCTACCCACTGCCCCGCCCGCCTTCCACCGGGTCCCTGCCCTGGGGGCAGCCACTCACCTTGGCCCCACGCCCTGCACCCCCATAGCGAGTCAGAGCGATGGTGCCTTCGAGTTTGATGCCCTGGGTCTGTAGCTCCTCAAAGTCTTCTTCTGTGCCCCGGTTGGCATAGACGAGGGGGCCCTAGTCCCAGGAAGTGATGGTCTTTAGAGCCGGGCTCAGCCAAGAACGGATGGGGAAAGGGCCGGAAGGCTGGGCGGCAGGAAGAAGGACCTGGATTCTGTTCCCCACCTCACCCCCAGCTCCCCAAGGACGGTTGCCTCGGTTTCCTCTGCTCAGGTGCCCTGTGCCAGGTCGAGCCTTGAACAGGAGCCACTAGTGTTTGTTGAATGACTGATGGAGCCAAGGAGTCATGAAGGAATGTGCAGGTAAGCAAACTCGGGGGAAGGGACCTCAGGTGAGGCACTTTCCCTCGGATGTCCCCCGGGTCAGGGTGGGGAGGAGACGGAGTGGGAACGAAGGGGTGCTGGACCAGGGAAAGACGGGGTTTCCTGGCCCACCTGCGGGGTTCCGGGGGGTGCGTAGGCGGCGTAGGGTGGCACCACGTCCGGCCCCCCTTGCTCCCCGGTCAGGTTCTCCTCGTTCTGGAGACAGGAGTAGAGGATGGTCCCAGAGGGGCTCACTGTAGAGGGGCAGTGTCGGACTGAGTCCAGCCGTGCCCCGTCCCTCCCGTCCCCCAAGCCTGGGCAGGACCTCACCGACATCCACGTGGTTGGGCTGCTCCTGGCTGGGGAAGGACAGCAGCACCTCATTCTCGATGGCCTCAGCTGAGTCCAGGCCCGACACGGAGTCCCTCCATCGCTGCAGCAGCAGCTGCACCAGGGCCGCATCCCGGGGGCTGGAGGCCAGGTGGGGCTCCCTGGAGAGTTCTCTGCAGGGCAGGCAGAGGCAGAGGCCGGGCCGGCGTCAGGGAGGGGGCCTCGGGCAGACCGGAGGGCCAGGCAGACCCGTCTCTCACCTAAGGTTCTCCCGGATCCTGCCGGCGTCCAGTTGGCCCAGGACGGTCTCAAGGACCTCCAGGTCCAGGTCCTGGGGGGCTGAGGTGCTGGGGTCTGCTTTTTTGGGGATGGCAAAGTGGCCCAGGATGATCCCCAGCCCCAAGAGGGCCGCGGCCCCCACCCCCAGCCCCAGCACCTTTGCCCACTGCATTCTGTAGAATCTCGGCCAGTTGGGGTGGGCCTGGTCGGGGCCTCCTTATAGATGGGGTGTCGGGCCTAGTTAACCATTACCCCAAGGGTGGCACTGCCCTTTGGCCCCCAACTGGCAGGGAGAGTGAGAGGTATCCATCAGAGAGAGCCAGGAGTCACTCACCTCTACCCCATTCTGCCTCACCCCCCTGGAAGGGAACTCTTGGGGCAGCAAGTCCACCAGTGGACACTGAGGCCCCAGAAGAAAGGCTCTCACCAGGCTGTAAAACAGAGACCTAGGCTAGGCGTGGTGGCTCATGCCTTTAATCCCAGCACTTTAGAGGCCGAGGCCAGAGGATTGCCTGAGGTGAGCCCATGGGTTCGAGACCCGCCTGGGCAACTTGGTGAGACCTCATCTCTACAATAAATCAAAAAATTAGCTGGGCTTGGTGGCCCATGCCTGTGGTTCCAGCTCCTTGGAAGCCTGAGGCAGAAGGATCGCCTGAGCCCAGCAGGTCAAGGCTGCGGTGGCCAAGCGTGCCACTGCCCTCCAACCTGGGCGACACAGTGAGACTCCAACTCAAAAAACAAAATAGAGGGCAAGCCAGGACTGGAACTCAGAGCTCTTGTGTCTGGAGGAGGGCTGTGGCCACCACCCTTCCTCACTGTCTCTGTCTCCTCCAGAGCCAGTCCACCTCCAGCATATCTGGTCCTGCCTGCCTGAACAGATGAGTCCAAATCGCATCCTTGCTGGACAGAAACTGTATGACCTTGGGCAAGTCACGTAACTTCTCTAAGTCCCTGATCTTAGCTGCATAGTAGGGATAATAAGACTTATTTTGCAACATGGTGGTGCTGTTCTCATTCAACAAGATTGCATCTATAGAAACATCTAGGCCGGTGCAGTGACTCATGCTTGTAATTCCTTTGGGAGGCAGAGGCAAGAGGATTGTCTGAGTCCAGGGGTTTGGGACCAGCCTGGGCAACTTGGCAAGACCTCATCTCTACAAGAAATCAAGGAATTCGCCGGGCGTGGTGGTACACGTCTGTGGTTCCAGCTATTGGAAGGCTGAGCCGGAAGGATTGCCTGAGCCCAAGAGGTTGAGGCTGCGGTGGCTGTGAGCATGCCACTGCACTCCAGCCTCCAGCCTGGGTGACAAAGTGAGACTCCAAATCAAAAAACAAACAAACAAAAAACCCCGAAATATCTAGCACTGTAAGTTGAGTGCGGTGACTCACACCTGTAATCCCAGCACTTTGGGAGGCCAAGGCAGGAGGATTGCTCAAGTCCAGGAGTTCGAGACCAATCTGGGTGAAACAACAAAAGACCAAAATGGATTTGATATTGCCATAGAGCAACCATTTTCACGCTGCTTAACTTTGTTGTGTTATTTTAGCAGTTCACTTTAATTTACCCTCTAATCATTGGCCAAGGACAGAAGTGGTTTCCTGAAGACAACTACTGATCATTGTCTTACAATGCCCCCCAAGTCCACTTTGTATTGTTTACTTTGCTATCCAAGTATTTGTCTTTCAGTCATACAGCACTGGAATGACCTAATGTATTGTAATCAACCCTTCACATGACCCGCACGACACAGGCAGACCTCATTACCATGGCAACAATCACGTGACTAGCCCACCCGTCTGCCTGCTGTCTATCACCGTGATGTCAGTACCTGTGCTTACCTGCACCTTCATGATGACATAAAACAGACCCCCACTCAATCACCTTAACGACCTGCCCCCACCAAAGGAAAAGTTTGAAAAACACTTATCCTCAAGCAGCTGTCGCCATTGATTTTTTTTTTTTTTTTTGGAGTCAGAGTCTCACTTGGTAGCCAAGGCTGGAGTGCAGTGGCACACTTATAGCCATCCCTGCGTTGACCTGCTGGGCTCCAGCAATCCTTCCGCTTCGGCCTTCCAAGTAGCCAGAATTACAGGCACACGCTACCATGCTCAGCTACCTTTTTATTTATTGTAGAGACAAGGTCTTGCCAAGTTGCCTGGTTGGTCTTAAACCCGCGGGTTCAGGCAATCCACTCGCCTCGGCCTCCCAAAGTGCTGGGATGTCAGGCTGAGCCACCGAGCCCAGTCCATGCTTTTCTCTTTAAGCTCTGGTCCCCTGCCCTATCTCGGGGATGTGAATCTTTTCTCTCTCTCTCTCTCTCTCTAATCTACTTTCTAAATAAACTATATTTTCCAATTTAATTTCTATGCAATTCTTTGCATCTTATAGCACCATCTCAGCACACTAGACCACTGACCTAACAAATCTCCCAGACCTAACACTAGGCAACATAGTGAGACCGCATCTCTCCAAAAAAATCAAAAATATTAGCTGGGTGTGATGGCACTCGCCTGTTGTCCCAGCTATTTGGGAGGCTGAGGCAGAAGGATCACTTGAGCCCCGAAGGTGGAGGCCGCAGGGAGCCATGATAGTGCCACTGCACTCCAGGCTGAGTGGTCAGAGTAAGAACCCAACTCAAAAAAAAAAAAAAAAAGAAAGAAAGAAAAAGATTTTTCTTTTGGTGATTGGCACACGGTGGGAGTGCAGTAAATTTTAGTCCCTCCTTCCTCATCTGAACCCCTAAAACACAAAGCCTCTCTGTATCCTGAAAGGACCCAATTTATGGGGGAGGTGGGACTTCTGGAAAGTGAGGCTGTCCCAGAGGATACAGCAGGGGAGGCCCACCCTCCCTTTGCAAAAAATCCTCCCAGGCCTTCCACCCCTTCCCCTTCCACCCCCGGCCCTGTCTGGAATCCACCATCCACCTTCCCCCTTCTCCTACCACCTGTCCACTACTCAAGAGCATTCTTCACTTGCACATGCAGGCGTTGTTCATGCCCACAGTTCTGTGCTAGACCCACGCAGGGCCCTGGGGAAGCAAAGTCCAGCAGGAGAGCCAGACGGGCTTTGGGTTCAGCCATGTGGTGAGTGCCCCAGAGAGGACCACCGAGCTCCCCGTGGGAAAACTAGAGGGTCCCTGGGGCCCAGGTTGTGGCTCCTCCCACCCTCCCATGGTCCATCCTGCCTTGGCTCTGCCCAGCCGGGTTGCAGCCCATGGATGGGCCCAAGATGCCAAGGACTGGGGGCTAGGCCATGGTGTGTGTGTGTGTGTGTGTGTGTGTGTGTGTGTGTGTGACTAATCTACTCGCAAATTCCTAACCATGGAGCTTTTGATATGACTCCTGTTTCCTGTTTGAGTGCATCAACTTTTCTGGGGCACTTTGGTATCCAGGGATACATAAATAATATATCTCCTCTTTGAAGAGTTCTTTCAT